CCTGAAATAAATTCCCCGAGACGGGGTGAGATATACGAATATATCCCAGTAACCAAGAGGTTCTGGAGAAAACTCCACCCAATGGTTCACTTTGATGCATATCAATAGAATAAAACAACCACTTTGAAAACGAGATATAGCAAGGGATTTAGAGAAATGGGGAATATAAATAAACAAACTACGACGATACGGGATGGTAACCCCAATTCCACGTACGCCCTGGGCATATATAAGCCTATGGGTATCATCCAAGGTGTGTTCACAGAAACCACAACCATGATGCCCAAACCAACCAAAACGCCAAAGACATTCCTAGTGTGCTCCTACCCGGATCACACACCATGACACGCAGTCAACTGGAACTCCCTCCTGGAGACCTATCCAGCGGAAGTCCGAAACTGCCCGAAGGCTAATAAAATTGTCTACTGGCCAGAGACTCAGTACCGCAGTACCCATAGCAATAATGCATGCATGCTCATGTGTTCTATACTATTCATACACACTTCCTACCGTTGCCATCAACTGGCAAGGTGGAATAGAAAAGGGGAACAAGCCCCAGTACCAAGAGGTTACCTCAATATGTTACTCCACTTAGGTTCCAAGTTTGTTACTCAACAGAACGCCTACACATAGGACGTTCCCAATTACTCAAAACTCATACGAATGCATGCAATTTACAACAATACAAGCATGATTCAACCACTTACCTCAATCCCACTTGGTCCAGGACCAAGGGCAATCCACCGACTCACGGTTCGGTGTTCAAATCGACGTAAGACAACCTATAGTAACCATGTACGAATCGTCAGTACACGGCAATTCCATCAAAATACGAAAAACGTCAAATTTCACTCTTACACCTTGTAAGTTCGGCCTCTTAAGGCTTATTTCACAAATTATTTTTCTAAATTTTCTTTCTCATTTTTTTATACTTCCACAGGTTGCCAAAAGGCCATACCAAGTGCCATTTTTCACTTTACGTCTTTTAAACAATGTTTTGCCTAATATTTTACTCTAGGATCCTTTATGGCAATTAACACCTTCAATCATTTTTCATTGATTCTACAACCTTTAAACCACCACACAACTCATCTAAGTACCATTTAGCACATCATACATCACTCAAATAATTTCCAACACCATCCATTCCTTAATTTCCCTTTAAAAGCCGAATTGCACATAATCCATTCCAAGGAATTTTCACCCAATTTTAACCATTCCACACCTCATACAATCCCATTATATCAACATATAATCATACAACAACTCACCAATACAATCCTAACACATTTTCAAAATTCAAAGTCATGACAACCTCAAAATTTTCAAAGTTACAAAACCATATTTTTCACCAATAATTTTCATGGCATTTCTAGCTCTAAAACATCATTCTAAGACATTATCATCTAATACACATTTTCCATTTGAGCTCTCTAACATCACATATCAACCATGCAAGGTCTAGGGTTCAAAATTCAAATCATCACATTCAATCATTTAAAATGCAAGAACACTAACCCAAATGGAAGGTACAAGGCTCCTCCTAAACATACTCCACCATTGGAGCACTTAGAAGCTCCATGAACACAAATCTCCAACTATGAGCCACGGCCTTGAGGAGGGATTTTCGCAAAATATAGCTGGATTCAAGGCTTGCCACTAGTGCCAATGTGTTTAGAAGATGTTTTCCAACAAATTTCAACTCAAAAATCACTTGATTTGGTTAAGAAATGATGGAGTTATGGAGAAATCAAAATTTGAAGTGAAATGACCCATGGAGAAAAAAGGGCTGCGGGTTTGAGGGCTGAAGGGGAGTGGAGGAGGTGATGAATAGTGTAGTGATGATGTATCTTAAGTGAATTTTAAGTGGGGTGGGTCCCACGCCACCTCACGCGATTCAAAACGCGTCAAAACTCTCACTAAACGTCCGTAAATTCAAAGCCTATTTAGAAACTCTAATTTTTAACATTAACTATTCCACTTTAATTAGGCTTGATCAGATGAATTCGGAGTCCTCCCTTCGTTCGGAGAAAACATTGTTTTTAAGCTATCGCACGCGCCGTTGGCACGTTTCCCCAAAATGACTTACTTTCATCAAATTTTATCAACAATCATATTTCCTAACTCATTAGACCATTTTTAACTCATATTTGAAACCTAGAGCTCAAAATTCCACTGGCACGTTTTACGGTGCAATCGTAACGCAGTATTTTTACCCGCGAAAAACACTATTCACTGATTTTTCTGAAACTTTCTTATCCACTCAATTTTTCGTTCTGAACCCGTTTCCAGGGTTATTTTTACCATATGAGACCTTCTACTCAATTTTTATTTTCCTAGGGTTGCATGTTGGCTAATTACCGTTTTGCCCTTTCTTTGTATTTTGGCCTAATCTTTAGAATTTTCACTAATCCATCACTTGATTGCTCACTTAATATTTTATTTACTTGATTTAAAATTGTGAGGTGTTATACTAAGGTTCTTGAGAAATTCAAAAGTTTGAATATAAGTCCTGTGAGGAACCCTGTAGATTCTAATATTAGTTTATTAAAGAACACTGGTAAAGCTACAGAACAAAAGCTATATGCTCAAGTGTTGGGAAGCCTGATGTATGTTATGAACTGCACCAGACCTGATATTGCTTATGCAGTAAGTCTGTTAAGTCGCTTTACTAGTAATCCAAATGAAAATCATTGGAAAGCTATGGAAAGAGTTTTGGGATACCTGAAGTATACTCAAAATTTTGCTTTGCATTACGAGAAATACCCTGCAGTTATAGAAGGGTATTGTGATGCAAATTGGATCACCGGCTCGAATGACACTAGATCCATAAGTGGATATGTGTTCACCCTTGGTGGAGGTGCTGTGTCTTGGAAATCGTCCAAACAGACTTGCATCGCAAGGTCAACCATGGAAGCAGAATTTATTGCTTTAGATAAGGCCGGTGACGAAGCCGAATGGCTTCGTAACTTTATTGAGGATGTTCCTAATTGGTCAAAATCGGTACCATCTGTATGCATACATTGTGATAGCCAAGCAGCTATTGAAAGGGCCAAGAACGTGATGTATAACGGTAAGTCTAGACACATATGTCGTAGACATGATACCGTTAGACAACTACTCTCGAATGGAATCATTTCCATTGATTATGTTAAGTCTAAGGAGAACATAACGGATCTGTTAACCAAAGGGATTCCTAGAAAGTTGGTTGAAAATTTGTCGAAAGGAATAAGTTTAAGGCCTATCAATTGTTGAGCATTGCGGTAACTCTACCTAGAAGAGTGAAGATCCCATGAACTAGGTTCAAAGAGACAACTAAGTGATGGTCGACTGTTCAAACAGTGTGGAGTTTTTAAACTCATACTCATTCCTAAGACAAGACAGTGTATTATGAGGGTAAGCATTTAGGCTTTTAATGATTTCTTAATCTGTTATGTTCAGATGATGTATAGTGAGTTACATCAAAAGAAATCACCTATGTGAGTGTAAAGTGAGGGCCGCTTCTATGAGAATTTTTCAAAGGCCGATTCTCTAAAACACTCGCAGAACCAGGCAGGTGTCCCATGGCCAAAATGGGCGCAACAAAGGACCAACAATGCTAGAGAAGGAATTGTGTGACTCCTATTGTCTAGGTATACACTAAAGGTTGACGGTTCAAGTCGACCTAGACCACCGATTGACCGAGTATATCCGATAGGTTTTCACTAGAGAAGGTTCAAAGGTAACTCCACCTATCTCGATGCAGTTGTTTCTCGTTGAGGAAATTACACTTTGCATTTATACTCTTGTGCATTTTTTGTCACGATGATTTGTCTTCTTATCCATGTGGGGGATTGTTGGGATTTATATATATATATAAATTGTGTAGACAATCTATTGGTTATGAATAAGAAGTTTGGTAGTGAAAAGGTGTGCCTTTTCGTCGACAAACATATGTATCTTTTCATCCTAAAGGATGTGTGGTTTCATCCTAACGGACATGTTGTTTCATTCTAACGGACATGTTTCATCCTTGAATGGGTGTCTTTTCGTGTTGAACGAATGTGTCTTTTCGTGTCCAACGGATGTGTTGTTTCGTCGTCGAATAGGTGCCTTTTGAAACGTGACCTGACGTTGTCTATAAATAGACACTGACACCTTCAGAAAATGGATCCAATTTTTCCTGCACTGAAACTCTGTCGGAATTTTTCTCCTTCCGGTTTGCATATTTCTGTTCATACTCCGGTGTGATTTCCTCTGGCATTCTGTTGTGTTCGTTTGGGCTGTTGACTGGCAGTGCCGCCACTCTTTAGATGAAATCCGTTCTATCATGGGAGACAAGTGTCCATCAACCTTAGGCATCAGTGAGAGGGGCAAATTGTCTTAAGGAGACACGTTCTGTGGGCTCGGATTTAATTCCTAATTATGCATTCATTCTTCATCTGTCTGTTCCATACTACTGACAACAAGTAAGTCTGTCTTTTAATTTTTATAATTGCACAGTGATAATTCTGATCATCTACCTCTTCTGCTTTATACATGGGTTCAAACTTTTTAGTGATTTAATCTCACCCACTGTCTTCAATAACATTAATTACATATGCAGGAACCAGAAATGATTAAATCTATGCTTATGTACTTATATTAAAGAAAAGATTCATATTTAGGAAAATATCCTGAATTTAATTTTAAAATAAACTTATTAAAAAATTCATTATAAGAAGCTTTGGTATCTCCAAGTTTATTCAAAAATATAATTTTTAAATAGCTTTTAATAAAAGTTTCATATAAAGTTAGCGAGACACCTTGAAGACTTATCTCTAAAAACAAGTTAGCATCTGTCTAGATTGTTGGTTTGAGGATCAGCGATAAATAAAAGCCGACATTATTATGACGCGGTTTCCATATCCTTCCAGACTTTATAAGGTCAGAATTAATTTGCGTCCTAACAAACTTGTTTACTTTCTTATATATAGTTGATGTTTTTGAGATATACAGAAGCCTAAATAAGTTATGCTCTATTTATTTTTTTATTTTGTCTTCATCTCTCTCCCTCTTTTTACCTTATTGTCTGCTGCGGACTTTGGGCCATGAAATCTTTAATCACGGTCGAAATCAATCAAAATTACAATTTGTTATTTAGTTTCCCTATGCTGATTGAATTTTTTAGGTGCAAATATGTTGTTCCATGTACTAGTTGTCTCATGCTCATTTTTCTGTCTCTGTAGGATGTCCCTCCAGAAATTTTTAGATTGTTGCGAGAGCACTGGTCAGAATGGGAAGATAGCAATATTGATGCTTACTCAGCTACTGTCATTAAAATTGGTCCCTGCAGCTTGCTAGGGGAGAGAGCAGGAAGTTTTGGGGGAGAAATGATTTACTCGAACGAATACAATTGTGCACCTTGTGGACAACTCAAATGGTACACATTTTTACTATCGTTCCCCAAATGTAATTGGTTGCCTAAGTTTGCTCTACTAAGGTAAACATTAGTGTAATTATGAACCCCTATTTTGAAAATAGAATATTATGACATGTCCTTTGTAAATATTATATTCACATTAACTCTAATTTCATCACAGGTTGCATTTCTAATACTCTTTATATCACATGATGATCATGTGTTACGAAGGCAGCTGAAGAAGGGTCAAGCCCAGCCACTGATGACCCAGGTTTGGGCCCTAGTATTGTCAAACGGCCCACTAGAAAGAAAGGCACACCCGCCTGGATGAAGGACTACAGCTGTTAATAAAGAACAAGGGAAAGTTAAGCGGTGGACCAATAGAAGTAGGACAAGTATGATAAGCGGTTAGTTGTAGATGTGAAACGTGTAACTGAATGTGCTACGTGTAGTAGAGAAGTATAAGTAGCATAGCATGTAGTTGAAAACAGTTATCTGAATAATACTTGAAGTTCTTTTCGATTCTTCTTTTCATGTTCTCTGTTCATTGTCCTTCCTTATTCTTCGATACAGTTCGTATCATCTGGTGCTTTCATTGAGTTACCATGAGAATTCAGGAGGTTGCTGATGAATTGCGTTCGAAATTCCAATTAGGAATCAACACTACTAAATCTGATCTTACTCAGAAAATCGAACAGCTTACAGAATCTGTTCTCAATATGGATGCTCGTTTACGAGAATTCATGTCCAAAACCCAAATTTCCACACCAACCAGTTCTAAGAATCAAAGTTCGAATCTCGATCCCAACTCCACTCCTTTTCGTTCCCCAGAAACACCGGAGCAGAGAGTATTGAAGTCCATCAAGGTTGAGATTCCTTCGTTTAAGGGTTCTGACCCTAATAATTGGATCTTCCGGACTGAAATGTTTTTCCAAATGCACAATGTTCCACCATGCATGAAGGTCCAACTTGCAGGGATGAAGATGGAGGGTATGGCATCACCCTGGTTCCAATGGATGTTTACCACAGGGTTGATTTCTCAAAGGGAAGACTTTGCTTGTGCCTTGCGCCAACGGTTTGGAGCTTCAGCATTTATGGATCTTAAAGGAGCTCTTTCCAAACTCTCCCAATCAGGTACTTTGATGGAGTATGTAAAAGATTTTGAGTCCTTATTGAATCAGGTTCAAGGTTTCAGTGATGACGTCTTGATGAGTTTTTTCATTTTTGGCCTTCAACCTGACCTCAGAGGAGCCATACAGCTTCAGTGGCCTAAATCTCTTCATCATGCTATGCAATTAGCATATGCATTTGACACTCACCATGATCAATTGCGTTCCTCACTTTTTCCTCACCAAAAACGACATCTTTTTCCATCTCACAGTAGCAACACACACCTTCCTAAAACGAATTCGACTTCCACTTTCCATACACCTAACACCACTCACAACATAAACAACTCAGTATCATCTCAGCAATCCACATTATCTATCAAGAAACTTTCCCCCGAAGAAATCCTTAAAAAACGAGAACTTGGCATATGTTTTACATGTGATGAAAAATGGAATGGCAAACACAGATGCAAGGCCAAAATGTTACTCTTAATTGGTGAAGTGGAGGATGAACATCAAGACACAGAAGAAATAATCCTTTGGTCCCCTGACACTATGGAGGCCACTTAACCAGCTAGTTTACAGTAAAATCCAGAAGCTACTATGTTCTCCTTAGCCAGTTCCTTTAATCATAGAGCTTTAATTCTGCATGCTTCGATCTGTCATCATGCTGTTAGTGTGTTGGTGGACTCTGGCAGTTCACACAATTTTATTAACCGTGAATTAGCAACCAAGTTGAATATCCCTATGAGTCACTCTCGGGGAATTAAGGTTTTCATGGGAAATGGGGATTTTTTGTTCTGTGACAAAAAGTGCAAAATGGTTCAGTTGACAATTCAGAACCACTCTTTTAAGGTTGATTTCTGGGTGCTGGAGTTACAAGACTTGAATGTCATTTTGGGTATGAGGTGGCTTGAAAGCTTAGGCAGGGTGACTCATGATTATGTGAAGCAATCAATGGAGTTTGTAAAAGATGGCACCTGGATCACATTGCAAGGTATTTCGGACTTAGACAACAGTCCCAATGATGATTGTATCCATAAGGCTTCATGTTGCTTACTGACAACAGTTACTTCCACTGCATTGGATGGTCTACTGTTGCCTGATTTAGAGGCTATTAAACATGCAATTGATCCTGTTTTATGGAATGTTTTACAGGAATGCCAAGTTGTCTTTCAAACACCACACATTTTACCTCCTTTTCGAGGAATGGAGCATTCAATTCACTTAATGGATGAAGCCAAACTAGTTAATGTGAAACCTTATAAGTTTCCTCACCATCAAAAGACAGAATTGGAGAGGCAAGTCTCTGATCTCTTATCTGCAGGTTACATCCAGCCTAGCAAGAGCCCTTTTTCATCACCTGTCTTGTTAGTAAAGAACAAAGATGGCACATGGCGTATGTGCATTGATTATAGAGCTTTAAATGCCGTGACTATTCCGGATAGATTCCCCATACCCACTATTGACGAATTATTAGATGAACTTTTGGTGCAGCAGTATTTAGCAAGCTTGATCTTAGGGCTGGCTACCATCAAATTCGCATGCTTCCCCAAGATGTCTTCAAACTGTTTTTCGGACTCATGAGGGGCATTATGAGTTCCTTGTGATGCCTTTTGGGCTCACTAATGCCCCTGCAACTTTTCAAGCAGCTATTAACCAAATTTTTAGACCTTATTTGAGGAAGTTTGTTATTGTTTATTTTTATGATATCCTTGTCTATAGTGGTTCCCTATCTGATCATGTGCAGCACTTAAGACTCACCCTTCAATGTTTATACCAGCATAATTTCTTTGTCAGGTTGAGCAAATGTGCATTTGGGGTTATGGAAATTTCTTATTTGGGTCATATTGTGTGTGTTGATGGAGGAGTTAAAGCAGATCCAAAAAAATTTGCTACTATGGTTGATTGGCCAATACCCAAATCCATCAAACAGCTTCATGCCTTTTTGGGTTTAACAAGTTATTACAGAAAGTTTGTTCACCACTATGCGGCCATTGCCTCACCACTTACTGATCTTTTGAAATCTGATAAATTGGCTTGGACACCTGTTGCAAATGAAGCCTTTTGCCAATTGAAGTTAGCCATGAGTTCAACTCCAATCTTAGCTTTACCAGACTTTTCAGTCCCATTTATTGTTGAAACTGATGCCTCTTATGTAGGCATAGGAGCTGTCCTACTTCAGCATAACCAACCAATTTCCTTTTTCAGTAAGAAGCTTGGATCCGTTTATCCAAGGCCTCTACATATGTTCGTGAGCTCTATGCCATTACCGAAGCAGTGAAGAAATGGCGACATTATTTGCTTGGTGCTCATTTTATTGTAAGAACATATCACCAAAGTATCCGAGAATTGCTCTCTCAGACCATACAAACACCAGAACAACATAGGTATGTGCACAAACTCCTGGGCTATTCTTTTTCAATTGAGTAAAAACCCGGATCTTCCAATATCGTTGCTAATGCACTGTCAAGACAGTTTGACAGTAATGAGGCTGGTTTTTTACTGCCCCTATTTTCTGAACCACATTTCGGAGTTCTTGATTCTATTAAATCTGAGAATACATCTGATCCAGAGTTAGTCACTTTGCACCAACAGTTAGCAAGTGGTGTCTTGCTTGATCCTTTATTCACAGCAAAGGGTGGTATTTTATACCATAAGGGGCGTTTTTTTTGGGATCTCATTCCAACTTGAAGACTGAACTGATTGAGGAGGCTCACTCTACTCCTTTGGGTGGGCATGCTGGCTCTCTCCGCACATTCCTTCGATTGTCTGCTTCTTTTCATTGTCTGCATATGTGAAGAGATGTTACTCAGTTTGTTCAACAATGTGTTATCTGCCAACAAATCAAAACAAGTAATGCAGCACCTTTGGGGTTACTTCACCCTTTACCTGTTCCTGAAGCAATTTTTGAAGACCTCTCATTGGACTTCATTACTGGTTTACCACTTTCGAATGGCCTTTCTGTTGTCCTTGTGGTGGTAGACCGTTTGTCAAAGTATGCCCATTTCATTAGATTGTGCCATTCTTATACAGCAGCTACTGTAGCCAAAACATTTTGTGAACACATAATGAAACTAGATGGATTCCCTCGCTCATTGGTTTCTGATAGGGATCCGATTTTCATGAGCAAGTTTTGGCAAAAGTTGTTTTCCTTGAGTAGTACTAAGCTCAAAACTAGTTCTAGCTATCACCCACAAACGGATGGGCAATCTGAGGTGACCAACCGTTACTTAAGAGCATTTTGTGCTGAACAACATCAGAAATGGTCCTCCTTTCTATGTTGGGCTGAACTCCATTACAACTCTGCGGTTCACTCTTCCCTTGGGATGTCTCCATTTCAAGCTGTCTATGGCAGGGTACCACCTTCTATTCCATATTATCCTCGTGGATTAGTTAAAATTGAAGCCTTAGACACACTTCTGTGTCAACGGAATACCATCTTAGCCAGTCTTAAAGAGAATTTGTTGAGAGCTCAGAATCAGATGAAAAATCAAGCTGACAAGCATCGTAGAGACTTCCTCTTTTCTGAAGGTGATTTGGTGTTAGTCAAATTACAACCTTATCGTCAGCTTTCAGTTGTTCATAGATCACATCAGAAACTAGCTAAGCGTTTCTATGGTCCCTTCCCTGTCAAGAAAGTTATTAGTCCTGTAGCATACCAATTCGATTTACCAGCCACTTCAAAAATTCATCCTACCTTCCACATTTCTTGCTTGAAGCCGTTTCGGGGATCACCAATAGTACATTTCTCTCCTCTGCCATCTCATAGTTTGGATAACAAACCAGTCCAGACACCGCTTGCAATATTGGCATCTCGTTCCTATGACATTCGAGGTGTGCCTCAGCTGCAATACTTGGTTCAGTGGACTGGTACTTTTTTGGAGGATGCAACCTGGGAATATGTTACTGATTTACAGGCTGCATATCCTGAATTGAACCTTGAGGACAAGGTCAATCTCAAGGAGGGTGTAAGAACCTGCACGTTAATTAAGGTATTTAATTAATTGATTATGCAAAATTAGGAAATGATTCCATAATTGACCCTAATAATTATTAAGAGGCTTTAATAATTATGGTAAGTGATTAAGAATGTTGAAAGTCGCTTTTCGGAAGAAAAGTGCAGATACCGGTTCTGCTAGTCGGTATAAATGCGTACCGAAAAAGTATCTCGAAAAATTATAATAAGTGCATTATAATTACTAGAATAACATATAGGACTTGTAAAACGAGTTTCAAGTCCAAATAATGAGAACTGGTGCTAGAAACCGGTACTGGCTTTGAAAAGCGCGTACCGGAAAGGTGCTTAGAAAATTATAAGAAAAATATGAGAATTCTTGGAAAAATGTGTAGT